ACTCACCTCAGCCTCCCAAAGGCGTGGGATGACAGGCTGAGCCACCGAGCCCGGCTGGAAGGTGGGATTTCAACACACGAATTTTGAATATTGGGGTGGGATTTCAACATACAAATTTTGAATTTTGGGAGGACACAAACAGGGTTGATAATACCGTATTAAAGCTTTCCCAAGTCTCCTTAGAAAACAAGTGCTGTTTCAGGCATCTACATTTCTCATGTAAGTCATCGTAGGCGATTCTGTCTTGACAGTCTGGCTTTTAAATGTAGTTGAGGATTTTATTTAATCCTCACAACAATTAAATAAACGAGTTAGGTCACATTGTACCCTTTTACAATTAAATAAACTGAGGCCCAAAGGCAAGTAAAGTTGCTGGCCTGAAATCAGCGACCAGAACCAAGCTTGAAGCTCAGGTCATCTTGAAATCCAAGTCATGCTCACCTCTTCTTTTTTTTTTTTTGAATTGGAGTCTCACTCTGTTGCCCAGGCTGGAGTGCAGTGACCGCTCCCGGCCACCGCAGCCTCTACCTGCCGGGCTCCGGCAGCCTCAGCCTTCCGAGTAGCTGGAACTACAGGCACACGCTATCACGCCCGGCTCATTTTTTGATTTATTGTAGAGATGAGGTCTTGCTGCTCAGGCGGGTCTCGAACCCGAGGGCTCAGGCAATCCACTCACCTCAGCCTCCCAAAGGCGCGGGATTACAGGCTAAGCCACCAAGCCTGGCTAATTTTTTATTTATGGTCGAGACGAGGTCTCATCAAGTTGCCCGGGCTGGTCTCGAATGGGCGGGCTCAGGCAATCCCCTCGCCTTGGCCTCCCAAGTGTTGGGACGACAGGCGGAGCCACCGAGCCCAGCCACGCTCAACTCTCAAGTGGTGTTTTTCAGATGTCCCACATCAAGGGCATCTGGGCCTTGCCTCAGACCTACTGAGTTGTAATTTCTACAGTGGGGGCCCAGGGACTGACATTTTTAACACAGTGATTCATGCACACAAATGTTTGAGAGCCACCTGTCACCTTCAAAGATCACGTATCTGGGAGGCGGAGAAAGGACTGGCAGAACTGAGTCGCGTGTACTCGTTCACGTGCCTCTTAAACTAGTACGAGCGTCACTCTGTCGCTGCCCTTTCTTTAACCTCCAAAGTTGGCTTGGAAATATTTTAACAGACTTCTGAGAAAAGGCTCTCTGCGAGCCACACGGGGTGCTTTCGTCCAGATTGCAAGAGGCAGCCCCCCGGGTGGGACCTAGCAAGCAGACTTCTTCGCCTTAGTGGACGTGACAGAGAAGCAAAGAGGTGCCACCTCTTTTTTCGCCCAGGGTGGCAGCGGGAAGCCCTGGTGGGTTCCGGCTCCTCTCGCCTGTGGTGCCTGCGCCCTCGGGGGCAGCCCTGCCTGGGAGGCTCGTGCCGGAAAAGAGCCCTCTCCCCAAGGCCCCCCTGTGCGTTCCTCGAAGTGGGCTTTGCGGACAGCGTTTGTTTTCGGGATGGCAGTGTAGGGGGACGTGGTGAGCAGAGCGTGCGCGGGTCTACTGGCTTCGTCCAAGCGCCTGAGTTGTCTCCGGCTTTCTGGCACCCCGCGTTACAAGTGTTATGCACACACACATCCACCCAGACCTACCAGTGTGAGCAGGTTCTCCCTTCCCTGTGGGCGCACCTTTGTCGCTCTTAGAAAAGGGCATTCAGAATTGGGGGATGAAGTCTGGTCTCATGTCACGTCTGGGCCACTGCTCTCCACAGACCGCAGGGCGCAGCACAGGACGCATCCATGCGAGGGAGAGACTCCATTCAAGCACGAATTAAGGGGGGTGGGGGACAGCTTGAGTCATTTGTAGGTGCGTGTTTTTGAGTTCGTGACCAATCCATAATTCCTATTCCCTGAAAAACTGCGACGCAGTTCACTCTGGCAAAGGGTCTCTGCGCTTGGGTGACTGTGAGTTTAGGACAGACTTAGTGTGGCCAAACGCGGATTGCGCAGCTGCCTTCCCTTGGTCGTGGCGTTCACGCAAGGTGTCTGCAGAAGCCCTGACGCTGCTTAGCGCGGCCCGGGAAACTAACCTCTGCCTCGGACGTTTCCGGCTGGCTCTCACCCCGTCTCTAACCGCATGGGCTCCGAAGCACTCGAGCATGTCCGAGTCAGAAGAGCCACGGCATGCACACACGCCGTGCTCCCCCCTGCTGTGCGGCCTCGCGGGGAGCCCAGAGCCCGCCCGGGTCTGACGCTCGCGCCCCTCGCACTGCGCCGTCTGCGCGCAGACGCAGGTCGCCGAGTACAAGCAGCTGAAGGACACCCTGCACAGGATCCCCAG